ATCAACGTATCACCGAAATTGTGCCGACCCATAGCGCCATACAAAAGCACCTTGCGACCATGCGGAATCACTTCAGTGCACCCTGAGCTGGTCGACTGGTTCGCACCATGCAATGTACTCTCCCTGGAGCCTGTGCACGAAGCACCTGGGACTCGGCCCTGCATCGACGAAGGCAGACGCGCACTGGTCCGTGAGTCCATGATACTGACTGCGAAAAAAAACGAGCGAATGGAACCATCACGCGACGAGCATGCGAACGAAACAAACACAACAATGAAAAGCAACAACCATGGAACCACGGAGAACAAACTGCGTTCCACCATTTGTCTAATGTTCCGATCGGTTCGTCTGCACAGGTCTGGGGTGTTCAGCAATCGAGCGACGATAGCCTCTTGAGCCAAAATGGCTACGGAGGGCCTACTGGGGGCCTCTTGGGGGTCTCTTGGGGCCATCTTGGGGCTCTCAAGGGATTCCCGATGCTGGCTGAAGGCGCTCTTGACCCGTCTGACGCCTTCGGCAACTGTCTGGCCGACCACGCAGTCGTTGTCAGTAGACGTTGCGCTAATCCACGAACCCCAGGATACCCAGGGAGAGGCTCCTCAGGCAAAGGCCGCCCTTGGCGCGTGGAGGTGCTGGGCCCTCTGGGAGATAACTTCGGGTTCGGTGGGCGGTCGCGGACCGTGCAAGATCGACGTGCGACGCGTCAGAAGGCTCCTCGTGTTTTCCAGACTGCGCGGCCGTAAGGAGCTCCACCGACGGCTCCAACAGGGGGGGTAGCCATGGCGTCCCTCCGCATATTTCGGCACACCCCTGACGCGGATCGTACCCCGCAAGGATCTCCATGTATGGCAACCACGTGCAATTTCGCATGGCGTCCCCACTCCCGTTGTCCCGCTGTCCCCACTCTCCCCACCATTGTCCCACCAAGGTACCACTTTTCCCCTTCCCCCCATTGTCCCCACTGTTCCCGCCATTGCCCCCGCTGTCCCCACCAGTGCCCCCACCAGTGTCTCACTGTCCCCACTCTCCCTACCAGTGTCTCACCAAGGTACCACTTTCCCCCTTCCCCCCCACTGTCCCCACCACTGTCCCACTGTTCCTACCACTGTCCCACTGTCCCCACTGTACCCGCCGCTGTCCCACTCTGCTGTCCCACTGTCCCCACTGTCCCCACCACTGTCCCACCACCGTCCCCACCACCGCTTTCACCACTGTCCCCACCACTACCGTCCCCACCACTGTCCCACTGTCCCCGCTGTCCCCGCCACTGTTCCGCTGTCCCTCGCCACTGTCCCCACCACCACCATCCCCACCACTGTCCCACTGTCCGCACCACTGCCCCACTGTCCCCACACCACTGTCCCCACCACCACCGCCCCCACCACTGTCTCAGTATCCCCACCACTGTCCAGCTGTCCCGAGGAGCGGGAATCGTTTGCCGGCGGCGAGGAGGGGTGGTGGTGGTGGTGGTTCGAACCGATAGTGGACCCCCCCCTTTTCATGATGGACTGGAGGGGGGAGAGGGGGGGCTCGAACCGGTAGTGACCCCCCCCGGTTTTCGAGGGGGGGGGGGGACGGGTTGGGAACCTCCAGTGACCCTCCCCGGTTTTCCGCGAGCAACGGTATATAATGCTCTTTCGTATACGTATATGTATATGTTTATGTTTGTGTGTATACACACATATATATAGAGGTATATGTGTATTTCACTGTATATATACACAGGTGTGTATATACATGTAGGAAGGCTTAGCTCCACCAATCTAAAAATAGGTGTGTATGCGCACGTACGTCATGTGTGTATATGTACACACATACTAGAACGACGCGCGCGCTTCGCGAGAGCTGATGTTCTAGTCACAATTGCGCCACGTTTTACGGCTATCGCCTTCGCTTGTCTGATCGGCGACGTTGCGAAGTCCGCTGCATGTGGTCGATCCGCCTCAGCCCCCTCCCCCTCCCCCTCATTCGTCATCGTCCTTCTTCTCCTCCTCCTCCTCTTTCCCACGCTCCTGCTCCTGCTCTTGCTCTCCCTCCTCATTCCTTCCTCCTCGTTATCGTTAGTTACTCCATTCTCACTCCTCTTCGTCCTCCGCCTCTTCCTCCTGCTTTTCCTCCTCGTTCTCGCCCTTTCCTTCTGTCCCATATCCTGCTCCCCTTCCTCTCCTCTTTTTGCAGCTCCTCCTCTTCATCCCTCTTCCTCCTCCTCCTCCTCCTCCTCCGCCCAGGTGTTCCCAGAAAAGGTGTCCAGGAACATTTCGGCGGCTGCTCTCCACGGGCATCTGGAAATCTCGGAAAAGGGGGCCGCTTGGAAGCCTCTTAGGCGCCTCTTGGGGGTCTCCTTGGGGGCCTACTGGGGGCCTTTTTTTCCAACGCTTGTGGAGACTGTCAGCCCACGTCTTGAATGCATTCTCGTATAGGCCGACACTCCGTCGCGTGTTGCTGTTGAAGACAATCTTACTCGAAGGCCGGAGAGCTTCTTGGATTGAAAGGCCAATTCGCGCATCCGTAGCATCGTGACTGTGATTCCAGTCCCCGTCCCACAACTTCATGAATTCGAAGTGCTTGTCGGTCCCGATTGTACCACCCGGCCCCCAAACAAGTGTCACGCGAGGCACATAGAACGAGAAAGCGACGATGCGGCAGTGCAAACTTGTGGAAATCAAAAGCTTTGCTCTGGATATTAAAGCACTTATATCCCAGATGTTGAGCCCTTCGAATACGGTCACAGCAGTTGAAGAGTCTGCTTTGTGAAACCTGGACTTCAGAGCCTCATACGACATCAGATTATCGTGGGAGGGCGCAGCGCCTGCTCGGAACATGACGATGCTGGCGTTGTTTTTTCTCGCCGCTGCCAGAACAGCATCAACAAATCCGTCGTCAAATTCAGTTCTACGCCTGAACTGCAAAGCGAAATATATCCCCACTGGTAGGCCGTTTGTGCGAAGTGATATGGATTTGCCAAAAAGAGTGTTGATCATGACCACGCTATCTGGGGCCAGCAGGCAGTCCTCGTAGCCTGCCTTTAGAGGATGTTGGCGGAGCGTGCAATGGTCAAACGCGCTCTGGTTGAGTCTTGGGTTGCCTATACCTCCAATTGTGTTAGCGATGAACAAGCCAGGTTTGGCAAACTTGTACCTAGGCAGCAAGAAGTACTACGGTTTTTGTGCATCAAGTCGTCCTCATTGCAAGCTTTGAAGCCCGGTCCGAACATGCCCAGCGCACCCTTGAGCGGTAAGCCATTGAGAGTTTGCCCTCCACAAAAATCACATCGAGAGAGCCATTGTACATGTTGGAGAACAAGGAGCCAACGCCGATGACAAGATGACCACCATACGCCCGCATGTCGGCGCCTGCAACGTCAGCATGCAAGAAATCGTCGGGACAGAAACCGTAGCGACTTTGCAGCATCGTTTCAATGATCCACGGCATCAACATATCACCGAAATTGTGCCGACCCATAGCGCCATACAAAAGCACCTTGCGACCATGCGGAATCACTTCAGTGCACCCTGAGCTGGTCGACTGGTTCGCACCATGCAATGTACTCTCCCTGGAGCCTGTGCACGAAGCACCTGGGACTCGGCCCTGCATCGACGAAGGCAGACGCGCACTGGTCCGTGAGTCCATGATACTGACTGCGAAAAAAAAACGAGCGAATGGAACCATCACGCGACGAGCATGCGAACGAAACAAACACAACAATGAAAAGCAACAACCATGGAACAACGGAGAATACACTGCGTTCCACCATTTGTCTAATGTTCCGATCGGTTCGTCTGCACAGGTCTGGGGTGTTCAGCAATCGAGCGACGATAGCCTCTTGAGCCAAAATGGCTACGGAGGGCCTACTGGGGGCCTCTTGGGGGTCTCTTGGGGCCATCTTGGGGCTCTCAAGGGATTCCCGATGCTGGCTGAAGGCGCTCTTGACCCGTCTGACGCCTTCGGCAACTGTCTGGCCGACCACGCAGTCGTTGTCAGTAGACGTTGCGCTAATCCACGAACCCCAGGATACCCAGGGAGAGGCTCCTCAGGCAAAGGCCGCCCTTGGCGCGTGGAGGTGCTGGGCCCTCTGGGAGATAACTCCGGGTTCGGTGGGCGGTCGCGGACCGTGCAAGATCGACGTGCGACGCGTCGGAAGGCTCCTCGTGTTTTCCAGACTGCGCGGCCGTAAGGAGCTCCACCGACGGCTCCAACAGGGGGGGTAGCCATGGCGTCCCTCCGCATATTTCGGCACACCCCTGACGCGGATCGTACCCCGCAAGGATCTCCATGTATGGCAACCACGTGCAATTTCGCATGGCGTCCCCACTCCCGTTTCGGCGCCGCTATGCGCGGATCGCGCCCCACAAGGAGCTCCCCCTACTGCCTCAGTGGGCGCGCTCGCGCGGCGGCCACCCCCTTCACGCGGATCGCGCCTCACACGGAGCTCAGCGTGCCTGTGCGCGCTATCTCCACAACCACCCCCTATCCGGTCTGACCCTCGGCGCGCAGTACTTGAAGAGAGGGCCGCGCCCTGCGCTACACGCAGGTGCATAGGGGTGAGCCCTTCGCCAGGCCCAGCGATTTCGTTTTCCTCTGACCTGCGCACATACATGAATACAGACATACAATCGTGCAGGCATGCGTACATGCGCACGTTCATACATACATATACATTTACATAGAAACGCCCCAGGAGCGAGCCTCTCGTAGATGTCTATGACAGCTTCTTGGGAAGTCTCGCAGAGGCCTTCCTGGGACCACTTGGGGGCCTCCTGGGGGCTTCCTTGGGGGCCTCCTGGGGTCTCCTGGACGCCTCTTGGGGGCCCCGTGGCGGCCTCTTGGGCCTCTCGCGGGCGTCTTGGTGGCCTCTTCGGGCCTCTTGGGGGTTTCTTTGGGGCCTCTTGGGTGCCTGGGGGGTACTCTTGGAGCGGGATTCTCGAAACTTCAATTGGAGTTCCCCATCTTGGGCTCCTCTTGAAGCTCTTCGGGGGCCCATCTGGGCCATTTTTTTTGTTGTTTTTCCTCGAGCGGCGATCGCAACTCGAAGAGTTGGCGCCCGCCGGGGCATTCCGTGCACGAAATAGACGTACTCACCAATGACTAAGGCGTGCCAAGTGTTGCCGGCAGCCGGGCAGCACTGGAAAACTCATCTGCGGCTTCCCGCGAGATGAGGCCAGGCAAAACGCGTCCCGTTGCCGTGGCTGATGAATTGGGTGAGACCATGTTGCACTCCCGCGACGAAAAGGGCAAAACTCCCTCCAGAGAGGGTGCTCCCCAATCGGTGGGCACTTCGAATCCTGCGCCCGGGTTGGGTGGTCGAGCACAACCCGCATTGATTCGGCATCCGACACGTGATCCGAGCAAGCTGAGGGTTGGTCGGAGGGCGCTGCCCAACATGGGTCTGGGAACAGCAAACTCGCAGTGTAAGCTATCAGAGAGGGGCACCCATGCATTGAGCACAAGAACCGCTCCACGCGTCATGCGGGGGTCATGCCTCCAGTGAGGCGCCCGCCCAGAGGCCCCCAAATGGTCCCCCCGGGCAGTGGTCGTTTAGTTCCCCCGGCGCCTACGATGGCCACCCACGCCGTGAGCCCCGCGACCGGGATGCTCGCTGCCAACCACTGCTGACGACGGCGCCGCCTACAAGCGACGTCTTGCCGTTGAAGGTGTCCCGGCCATTCCCCCTGTTGATTCAGGGGGCCCTCCGTGCAGGGGAGGGGGGACGATTTGAACGGCAGAAATTTCTGCGCCAGCCTTGCAAACAGCAGAGGCGACCCAAAGTTTAAGTTTCAAAGTTGGCACGGTATTGCCGTAGCAGCAAAGGCGACGCAAAATTTAGTGATAGTTCCAAGGTGGTGGGACTAGGCACAGCCAATCCGCTGTGGTCCTAGGGAGGAAAAGTTCATGCTGCTCGCATGCTTCGCTGGTGGCCGTCATTTTGGGGTTGATGCACTGAAATGGGCCAGCATAGGAATGGGGGCATTTGTGATCAATGCAGTACAGCGACCGTTGCACAACCTCTGAATAATGGTTAGACCAATCCATAACGCCGGTCCTAGTGTGTCCAGGCACGTATCTAGCATTGGTGTGATAGACGTGGTTAAAGTAGCCTGGAGCTTCGCATCTCACTCCAATGCGTGCGCAACGGCGGCCATGGCCAAGGATCTCGCATATTCTGCATGGATGCGTCTCCTCTATGTGGCCGACCCAGTCAGTGACCCTAATGCCGCAGATCGGGCAGGCCACCTCGACAGAAACACGCCACGATTCGAAGCGGTGTCTGTCACCAACTGTGGGTAGAAGCTTCGAGTACACTTTCGCACCTTTGGTCAACATCAGCGCGTCAGACATCCGAAAGCGAGCCAATTCGAACGACCGTGTATCGACGCTTTGCAACTGGAGGGCTGACATCAGAGCTTGCACATGATCCGGCCTACCATGCAGCTCACCTGCCAAACATGCGGTTTCAAGCTTCGAGAAGCCGATCGAAGCAAGCTCCTGATCCGACATTGCCTGCAAGATGCTGGGATCGATTTTCTGCTCGACTAACGTTGACACCTTATGCTCCAGCTGCAACGTCGGGCGGGACATCAACTCAATGAGACCGGCAACCTGTTTCGGAGGACTGGATGTGTATGAGGCCTGGCGCTGCGCGGCATCAACCACGATGCTGAAGTGAACCGACTGGATGACACCGCACAAGCGGAAATGCACGTCTCGAAAGGAATCCACAACATCCTGGGGCTTAAATGCAACTGCAACCGGCAACAATTTCGACTCGATCGTCGCAGTCGCCTCCTTAGTCTGCTTCTCCAACATGTTGGCCTCCTCAGAGCCCCTGGGGAGTCTCAGCACTGCTCTGTCGAGGTATTGTGCTTGCTGGCTCAAATGCCGCAGCCACGTGACCACATTCTGTACTGCCTGGTACTTCTCGTATGCTTGGTTGATGGCATCGAACAACTTCCCGATGATGGGCAGCCCGCTGATAGTGCCTGACAGCAAGCCTGCAGCAGACGCTGTAACTTTGACAGCAGTAACTGCAATTTCAGAAGCACCACCAGCCACCACAGATGGGTCTGCAGCTGCAGCGTCAACTGCATCCTCTGAGATGTTGGAATGAACCTTGGAACCGGAGCAAGCGCCACAACCAATTGCTGCACAGGGCTCTTCAAGCAGCTCCTTGGGCCAAAAGAGCCATTTGAGCCAAAATGGGGCTACGGGGGCCCATTTGGGCCATCTTGGGTGCCTCGTGGGCCGTCTTGGGACCCTTTTGGGCCGTCATGATGCCCTCTTGGGGGCCTCTTGGGCCGTCTTGGGGCGATCGTGGGGGCCTCTGAGGTCGTCAAGGACGGTACGAGGACCAACAGCGAATGTGCTAAACATGTCTGCTTTACAGAAGGGAAGCGGACGATTTTTGCTTGTCGGGGTCCTCTTGGGGGACGTCTTGGAGGGGGAAGCGTTTTGGACGCCTCAGGGGCCGTTCGAGACGTCTCGTGAGCCATCGGACACCCGTGAAAGCGGCCTCGAGGGTGGTTTCGCGACTGTCTTGTAGGGAGCCCGCAAAGGAAGTACGCGCCCAGCTATGTACATGAACACGGCCCCTCGATCCGCGAGACCGGCCGCGTTGTACGAACATTTGCGCAATGCGTACTCTCGAAACCAGCGTGGACTCATGTACATGTACGTCCTTCTTTCGCTCCGGATCTTGGGGCGCCGTGGCGCTCGCCGGACCGGTCTCTGGGGCGCTTCTTGGACCTTTCTGGCGGGCCCGCCCCCCGGGCCCCCCATTTGACGCAGAGGTCGTGGCCCCAGGGCCCTTGGGCCTGGTCCCCCGCCATGTGTGCACTCCCCTGGACAGTAGGGCGCAAACAAACCTACCTCGCTTTTGGCCACCCTCGCTTCCAAGAGATACCAAGCGACGCCAAGCTACGGCCTGCGCTGGTCAGGCCGCTTGACGAGGAGGCGCGTGGTATGACTTGGTTTTGCCCGGAAGCGAAAGCGGGGTAGGTAATTCACGCTCTGAGACCGTGCCTGCACCTGGGGGGCTCCTGCTTCTGGCCTCGAGAGCTGGGCCTGTCTATCGGTCTGGCGGCTCCGTGCCAGCAGCCGCCGCCCCATCGGCGCCCATCCCCTGGCTGGTGCGTCGGTCTGGCGGCTCCGTGCCGGCCGTCGCCGCCCCGTCGCCGCCTCGTCGCCGCCCGTCGCCGCTGCGTCGCCGTCGCCGTCGCACTGCGCTGCTTTGCGTGGCGTTGTCTTGTGTTGCTCCTCGCTGCTCCGCACTGCTCTGCATCGCCTGGCCTTGCGTTGCACGGCTGGGCGTTGCGTTGCTCTGCGATGGCTCGCCCTGCCTGCTCGCCCTGCCTGCTCGGCACTGCTGCGCCATGCTTAGCGCTGCCCTGCGTTGCCGCTGCGCTGCTTCGTGTTGCTCTTCGCTGCTTCGCATCCGGCCCTTCCCCGCCCTCGTCCGTGGCCGTTCTGGCCTGGTCTGGCTCGAAGCGCGCCCTTGTAAAAAACGGATATGCTATTGTTCCGCTTGCCTTCGCTCGATGCCGACCTGGAGCGCGCCGCGCGCTGCCGCCGCTGCTGCACAGTACAGGGCAAGGTGCGCAGCCGAGCCCTCCCGTGCTCATCGCCTGCGTCAGCACCGGCTGGAAGAGCAACTGGCACGGCCCGAGATTCCGAGCTCGTGCCAGCACTCTGCGCAGAGCTGTTGCGTCCACCGTGGGCGCTGCGAGGTGGGCGCGGTCAGTGCTCCTCTGGGTGCGGACGACATGTCGGCTCTCTACGACATGGTCCGCGAGGGCTGGCTGCACGTACAAACCGCTGCTCCAGAGCACGTTTTTTTGGTTTTGAAAAAAACATTTGGGGAACCATACCTAACATGATACCGCTCGGACGTCGTCGTGTGCTCAGGCCACCACATCGCGCCGATTCCCTCCAGGGCAGGCGACGCCCCCCACGCTGCTCAGCACTTCTTGGCGGCCCCTGCCGATGATGGGGGCGAGTCTGCGTATATCATCAGCGTCCATTGAGGCGAGACTTAGCCAAAACACAACATCTGTTGAGACTCCTACTGCACAGCAGCGGCGGCCAGGTGCAAACCCGGCGCCAATCGTTTTCGCGCCTGGGCGCACGATGGCTGTAGACGGCCGCTCTTCCGGTGCTACGACAAAGCGCATTGATCAGGCTGCGACCCCCGCCGGCGCTGCTACAGAGCACGTGTCTTAAGGCATGTGCCCTGGACATCGAGGTTGGCGGGGCGTCAGAGGTGGAGAGCACCCGCGCGCGCCAGATCTGAGTGCAACCATCCTTGTGGCCTTCCCCGCGGCCCCAGCTGAGGTGCACTATTACTGTGAATACATGGGAGAGCGCCTCCGCCATGGCCAGATCAAGACAACTTTCTTGCTCAGGTTCGAAAGCAAACGCCAGGCCCCTTCCGTGGGTGCGTTCTGGAAGTGGCACAGAACCACGACCAAGAGCCGCAAGTTCTCACATCGAACAAATGTTCGGATTTGACGACGCGTGTGCTCCACCAGGGTTCCGCCACGGAAGGAGATATACGTTACCAGTGCTGGGTGGCGGAGCGTTGCATTCATTCCGCTGAACAAGCTCCCTGCCTTGGAAGTCGCGGACAAGGATGCAGCGCTTCTTCGCGCCTGCGCGTGCGTAGCCGCCGCGGCCCACACCGGATTCACGCTCTCGGATTGCCATATTCACAACTTGGGCGTACGCATGACAATTCTACAGAGCATGTCGCTTGTATTCTTGACGCAAAGAGCTTTCCCGTTCAATCGCGAGCCTACGCGAAGAGCTTGGTCAGCCAGACGGGCATGCTGAACTTGTGGCGCTGGGCGCAAAAGGAACTTCGTCTGGGCGCAGACTCTATCGAAGCCGCGCGGCAATGTGGACTAAACACCACGCGCTCGATTGTGCCTTGAAATCCCTGCCCGATCAGCGCGCCAACAAACCGCGCCCTACAGATGCAGAGATGTCAGCGGAAGCTTTTTACAGAGAGTTGCTTCGACAAAAACCATGCAGTGATTTCCAAGAGTTTCACGCATCTCCAGATGATCGCCTGCTCGACATAATCGGGCGGTTTGCCTGCGGAGGCTCCCGCCGTAGCACTCCGATGACCGAAATGTGCTTTCGAGCTGCCAACAACGTGCTTGCTGACTTCAGCTCGCAATAAAGAAACATTGTTGAAGACCTGTGCGGCCACTTGACCTCGCGTGGAGGCAGTCGCCGCGAGCACAGCGCAGTCCGTGAAATCCTCGAATTCAAATCGAAGTTTCGAAGACACCGCAGTTAGTGCCTGCGCAAACACGGCTGGGAAAACAAATCCGACGAACTACTAACCGAAGAATGAATTCACGCTGTCCAGGGCGAGTGGGAGCGGCATGAGGCCTGGTGGGACTTCACGCATGCGCGGCAGCAGTCAAATAATCATCATAACATATGTGCTGTCATTTTGAACCATCGCTCTGCGTGGCCGGCAGCAACGGATGCTATGCCCCACTTCAAGATGCCAGTGCTACTGAGCACAGGCGGTTCCCATGATTGCGCCACAGATCGCTTTTGGAAACTGAGCATGTTCGCGGAAGAATTCGTCGTCTGGCTCGGCAAATTTGCCCGAACGATTGTGCAGTGCTGGGACATATCAGAGATCCCGGGTCCAAAGTGGCACTTCCATCTAGGACTGGGGAATAAGGTGGGCGTCCCTCCGTCAGCACGCGGGCGTTCTTTCTCGATCTGGATGGCGGAAACAATGTGTGGCACGCCTCGGAAAAGAAGCCACGGCCGCGCAGCCTGCGTCATTCACGATGCGCAGCAACGCGCGCGCTGGCAGCGCACGCGTTGCGAGATATCACACGTTGCTACAGAGCGCATATTACTATAGAGCGTTGCTAAAAACGCATGCCGAAACAAAAAACACGTTGCTGCAGAACACATCTTGCTACAGAACCGTGCTTAGTTCTCGGCTGCTACGCCGCACGCGTTGCAAACTATGTCCTCGCCTTTCCTCCGTGGAAGCTCCCGTCTCATTGTCACCGTGCGTCCAGCCGCTGCCTTGGCACCCTTTGCAGGCGATTCTCCATATCATTGCACTCGGAGTGCACGTGCTGCATGGAAAACAAAAAACACATCCATCGCCATCTGCACCATCAACACCACATTTTCACACCACACAGATGAGTACGTAAGGTCTTACCACATATATTGCACCACGACGTAGCTTGCACCACATAGCTCAAGCCACATACGTGCGTACGCAAGATCTTACCACATCCATTGCATCACGCAACTTGCGCCACATGGCTCACACCACATAGCTGAGCACGTTAGCTCCTACAACATACATTGCACAACTTCAACTGCGCCACGTCGGTTGCGCCGCATAAGTACGTTTGCGCACCACATAAGTTCTCTTGTCCAACAGAATATTAGGATCTACCCCCCCGCCTCCCCGCCCCTGGAATTCGATTTACACATGGTGCTGCCCCATCGTCCGTCCTCAATATGAACTCGTACCGTCACAAGCAGGCTGGTATCGCCCCCCTCATCCTCTGCAACATATTGTATGCGCGCGCACTTGCTTCTCAAGAACCATAATTTGTCAAGAGCCCCTTGCAACATATGGGGCGAACTGCGCACGCGCGCTCATGCCGATTAAACAAACCATAGGATTCGTACATTTTTCAAATATCGAACGCCCCGAAAAAGTATACTTAGCCAGACGAAGCACCCAACCATACGCAGCTGCGAATACTGCGAGGGAGATGAGACGAAGGAAGGGGATGCGCAAACTCCGAGTAGCTCTCATAGGCAGCGCGCCGCAGGAAGAACGAGGCGCGGGGCAGTGCAGGCGGGGTGAGGGGGGGGGGAGCGGAGCGGGATGGTGGGCTCTCAGATGTTTCCCCCTCTGTGTTCTCGCCCCCTGGTGACCGCGGCTTTGGGCAGAACGTAACGTGGAGTCCCCGCGACGCGCGCCGGTTGCCCCGCAGGTGTCGCCTCGACCTCCGACGTCGTCCGCGTTCTTCTTCTCTACTCTGCCTTCCGTCCGAAACATGTGAGGGGTGTGCCGAAGTGGGCGCGGACACCCTTCACGAAACTTGTGAGAGGTGTGGCGATATGGGCACGGCGGTGCCATGCGGGCGCTGTCGTTGGGGCCTTTGGTGGAGCTCCCTATGGGACTACGAAGCGTGTGATGGGTGTGCAGAAACGTGCGCAGTGGTGCCATGCGGGCGCTGCCACTGAAGCCTCCTCCTCCTCCTCCTCCTCCTCCCTCCCCCTCCTCCTCCTCC